GTTGGGCACAGTCTTCCCTGCCGTGCAGGTACATGCCGCAATTCACTCGTGCAGCTGTACGGCAACGTGAATTGTTGCCCCTTTGGCGGCCACTGCGGGAATGGCGTCGTCGAGTCTATCTGAACCGTCATCTGCGCAGATAATCGCTGGGTGTCGTCACCAGAGAAGACCTCGAGGATGGTGAAATGCTCGACCAATATCAATTTCTCGTGGTTAAGAGACCAAGGTGGCCTACGGTGACGGCAGGTGGTTTGTGTGTCGGCGCTGGTCGGAGGAATGCCACCACCACGACATTCAGGACCAACGCGATTCTTGAAAGAAAGCTAGACGATGATAAGCGGAGACGCGAAGCGGGCGATACCCACCACACTCGACAAGGTTGTATCAATGTATGTCTTTCAGGTAAGGTGAAAAAATGATCAAAGTGAACGGTGTTATCATTTGAAATCACTGTGTTGGCTAACAGCTACAAGAACTGTTTGAAATGTGCGTTCAGACCTACCATCAAGATACCACTGAGACGGCAAGATCTCCTGAGCCGTCCGTGGCGTAGTCTTTCTTTTCATACAAACTAACTCCATCGTCCAATAGTTTTGAACCCCACTATAGTGCAACACGTCGTCTCTAAGCTACGATTTCACGCGCGAAGCTTGTCTTTGATGCGGCCATTTCTCTGCCTGTGGTCGTCTCTCACTTTTGGATTTACCAAGCCGCCAAGACCCAGTCACCTCCACCGTCTTGCCTTGCCCGCTGCTACTACTTCGCCTTACCGGCGCGCTGTCTCTCCATCAAGCCGTTGTGATCGTCGTACTCACTAACACCGCGTGTTTCTACGTGTAGATGGGGGAAACAACTAACTAAAAGTTGCTGAGGTTGAATGTCTCTTGGCTCTTATACAAGAGCATCTTCCTCTGGGGGAGAGACGAGTTAGAACAGCTCGCAGCGGTCTACAACGCTAAACGGCTACGCGGTTGGGGCAAATGAAACTTTGAAAGTCTCCGACGAAAGTTTAAAGTGCTCTATAGTACTCGCAAACCAACTGGTGAGGCAGCCATGCCTCCACACATTACGCAAACAAAAAAGAGATCAATCAGTATATCGACGACTAAGCTAATGCCATCGAGATCAACGAT